ACTGAAAGCAAAATCAGACCATAAAGGGCTGTAGTTGCAAGAGAGTATGTGCAAGTATTAGCTGTATAGGAAAATAATGAGTGGCTGTATCACTATAGATCATGTGATCGAGCTGCAGTATGCGTGTGTGTGTGTGTACTATGTGAATCTGTTGGTGTGTGCACCTCAAAGACGGTTAAATGTCACTGCCCTGATGGGGTGTTGCAGTATGTGTGTTGGGAATGAACGGTGTGTCTGTGTGGGCTGTTTCCTTAACATTTACACTTCAGACATCGACCAGTGGAACAAAGTAATTGAGCAGCTCGGCACTCCGTCTCAGGATTTCCTAATGAAGCTGAACCAGTCAGTGAGAACGTACGTAGAAAACAGGCCACGCTATGCTGGATACAGCTTCGAGAAACTCTTCCCAGACGTGCTCTTCCCGGCCGACTCTGATCACAACAAGCTGAAAGGTAGCGGTGTTATCGTACCATAACCCAAACCGTTAAGAATGCATTCATCAAACCACATTTGTAGTCTTGTGATTAATAGCACAGCATCTTATCTGTTTGTTGTTTCTTCCCGCAGCGAGCCAAGCGAGAGATCTCTTATCCAAGATGTTAGTGATTGATGCCTCCAAGCGCATCTCCGTAGACGAGGCCCTGCAGCACCCCTATATTAATGTTTGGTACGACCCAGCAGAAGTGGAAGCGGTAAGTGGATCGCTGATCGGACTGCATGATCCTTAAATGGGTCACATGAGATTTTAATTACTTCACTTGAAGTGGAAAGTTGGCATCGCTCATCTACCACCAATGTGCCGTTTAAGCCATTTTCTCTTTCTCAGCCCCCTCCGAAGATCCCAGACAAACAGTTGGACGAGAGGGAGCATACCGTGGAAGAGTGGAAAGGTTAGACAGCATACTAAGAATCTTAACGCTGAACTCAACACTTCACTTTTCACTGTCAGTTTCAGTGTATTATTTACCCTGTGACTCCTGAGGCAGCACGGGAACTAACCACAGTGCTAGGATGTGCTGTTGGTTTCATTCACCGATAAAGTGCATTTATTTTGAAAATAAGTTAAACCAGCGTGGTAATTTAACAAAACATTAAAAATGTTACCATGCAAATACTCGTCACTATTAGGGCTTTCTTCTATAGTTCATGCATTCAATTTCTGCAAATCAGATGTGTTTACAAGGAAATAGAAACGGTCAGCTGGTCAGATTCTATGATGAGCAGTGACGTGATTTTTTTTCTATTCATGGAAAGCACAAAAATAAACCATGTGTAAGGAAATCCAGTGGGAGAGCCAGTGAATGTGTAGAAATGCAGCCAGTTGTTTACAGACATTGTTGCCGAAGGAGCTCTGTGTCTCCACTATAGTTGCCAGAAGGTGCGTGGCGTGAATTGAAATCCCCTTTTTAAAACCTCTCAGTTAATGTTTTCCACTGTGTGGAACCTGAGTCTCCGGAGCATGGGAGGACTTAAGATTGTGAGTAAATATCACTTTCAGTTGTGCAGCACGATGAGCTCATCCTAAACCCTGCCAGGTGATAATGACCCCTCACTCATTTTTAGAAGGGTCACACCAGCACAGCCTGTCCAAATTAGAAACATGATGCTGTTTGGACTGTACAGTATGCAATACACTCTGACTGTACAGAAAAAGTGTATTGCATACTGTGCATACAAGCATCAATTCTTCCTCTCTGTCTCCCCTGCCCCACATAACCTTCTTGTGTTCTTTCATTTTTAGAGCTAATTTATAAGGAAGTGAGTGAATGGGAGGAGTGGACAAAAAATGGAGTGATAAGAGGCCAGCCACCTCCTTTAGGTGAGTAATCATTATAACTCTGGGAGATAAGAGGAGGTGGAAGTGGAAAGGATGAATTAAGGTGAATCAATACTATTTTTGTTTGTGAGAGGCACATGATGGGTGTTTACCAGAGGAGGACACTCAGTCTGTTTGATTGAATAATGAAATAGTCCTAATACTTTTAATTTAATTTTATGTTATTTTATTTAAATCAACTGCATACTTCGTACATATGCACTGTAAGATCTAATTTGGTGATTTGCAAGTTTTTACCAAGAGATGTTAAATTTGTTGAAGGACAACAGTGTATTTGAGCCATAATGAGATTTTGTAAATAAATGATGATAATGAAGTTGAATTTTTTTTTTTTAATAAAGTCATAAGAATTAAAGATTCAAGAATTAAATGCTTATGTTTCTAGAATATAACTGCAATATTTTGAAATATTTCAAGAAAGAACAAAGTGTTTTGAAAGTACAAATAGTAACTGTAAAGTATGTAGGCTGTGTATTGTCAGGGAAAGTATAAGAGAGTCTAGCCCAATTCAATCATTTGTTCTTGAATCAGTTTTGAATCAGTGTTTAAATAATTGAGACGTCTTACTTAGATTTTTTAAAAAGATTTAGCCAAGTTTTAACCTTTACATCTTTTGACCCAATCAGCTTTTACTAGGAATTTAAGGTTTGAGACACTGTTTACCTGTGTGTGTGTACCTGTAATGGCAGATTCCTGTGTATTTCAATGAAACCTATGCGTTGACGTGTGTTTTTCGCAGCACAGGTGCAGCAGTGATCGACAGCCCCCCTCAGCCCACGTCCTCCTCTTCTTCAGCCAACGACGTCTCATCCATGTCCACAGAGCCCACTGACCCGAGCAGTGACCCCACCATGACCTCTGAAACAGACAGCAGCTTGGACAGCCATACCTCTCTGGGTGCGCTGGCCTGCTGCAGATAACGGACACATACAAAACGCATAACACACAAACACACACACCTACACACAAGAGCAAAGCTTTCCTCACGAAAGGGTTTAGGCCAATGGAACTTCTCATGTTAGTTTGTAGAGCTGCGCTTTTAATGTACAGTTTGTTTTTATTTCCCCTCCTTCTATACTGCTGTAAATGATTGTGGTTTGAAATTGTATCATTATTACTGTATTTTTGCTGCAAAGAATCAGAGTATGTTTTGATGTGAATCTGTGATGTAAGTTATGAAAGAGAGGGATTTGAGTGTACTTTACACATTACTGTTTTTTAGCTACTGCTACACAGTCGACTATCACACTGTTAGCACCGCAATATTATGTTGAGTATATTTTTGAATTGTTCATTTGGCATTTTTGTATTATTCTTGGGACATTTGAATGACTCTACACCAATTCTCTCTTTTAAAAGTAGACTATAGCACATTTCATCTCTGATCCTAATGCAAATGGATGATTTTATTTTGACACTGTTCCTCATCTTTCTTGTAGAAAGCATCCCAGGTTAACTTATTTCTTAGTATTATGTCACCTCAGATTGTGTGTATCTTGACAAGCGGTCAAATGCTCTGTTGCCCTGACAAAGAATTTCTTTTTTCTTTTTTTTTTTTTTTTACTATAGCATACTGTAAACTGACTGTATTTTAACTTGTTTATTTACTTAGGTGTAATTTGTAGATGACGGTCTGTTGGATGAGGAAGAACAGGGTGAATGTAAGTGAATAGAAATGTGGCATTGTAACGAGCCACTGTTAGCGCTGTAACAGGTTAATCCAGGCCACTCCACTGGCTAGAATGAGTGAGCTGTATTTGGGGACTGTCACCAGAGTCTAAATGAGTCACTTTACCCTCATGGCAGGTTCTTTCAGACGTTATTCACTGCTGTCTGATATTTAGGATATTTCATTTAAGTGCCCTTACTCAGTTCAGTGATTTTTAGTCCTCTCCGTGGCAGATGCTCCTCTCTTCTGTGGTGCGTCTTTCTGAGTTCTACCTCACACACACACACACACTCAACCACACGTTTTTGAAGATACAGTATGTATATCATGGCACACATCATTCGAAAGAAATGCGAAAAAAGATCCAAGTTTTTTTTTCAGCATTTGTGTTATTTATTTATTTATTTATTTATTTCAAGCTAGGAGGTGTCTATTGTAATGTAATGTACATTTCATTCAGAAGTACTATTTATATGCATTTTGTTTCTTTTTTTTTTTTTTTTTTTCTGTGCAATATAATCATAGATTAGTATACTTGGTAATTGATCTGTACAATTTAATGTAGATGTATGTATGTTTCTGAGAGTCAGGAAACAGGCATTTGCTACCTGCCACGGTAACCTTTGGATGTATTTGATGGCTCAAATTCCCAACCTGTCCCTTTGCCCTTTTCATGGTTGGGCACTCCAGGCAGTAACCCCCTAGCATCAGCTCCCAGAATGCACTTTGGGGATTGTGACGCATGTCCTGACCCTTTCTGGGCCACAATTCAAATGACTGTTGTGGCTTCCTCTTTTTTGTGGTTTTTTTTTTTCTTCCCCTCCATCTTCTCAAAAATAGAAAAGTTAGAATAGACTACGCATGAGTTTTCTCTGAGCAAATCTGGTTTTAGTGCAGGTACATTTAGAGTTAAAGAAAGGAAAGCCATTCAGCACTACTGGGATGATACTGCAGTCTTCTGATGGTTTGGCCAAATACGGACAGTAAAGAGAAAGACCTGTTGTGGTGTGTTATGATAAGGCCAGGTGTGTGAATTTTAGCCTTTGGATATGAAATTGCCTCACTAACAGACCAATAATATACATCAGAAATGGAAACTGTCTACAGTACCTTCAACTCCAGCAAATAAAAGAGTTGAATTTTAATGTCTCACGTTGTTCTTCCTTTGTCAAGATTTCTGTCGAGTTCTAACATCAACAGAACGTTTATAAGGAAGACTGTACCTCATATCATTGATAAGGCCTTTTCTGGTCTCCTACAGAGGAATTTAGACAATTAATAATTAGCTACATGACCTATGGAGTATAATAGTAAGGGCGTTTGTGGAATGGTAAAATGAGAGGTGCTTGGTCCATAGGAGTTCTCGTTTGGCACCGGCACTGGTCAGTGTAGGCACAAGACGGCCATACTAAAGAGGATACGATGGCAAGTAGTACTGCACAAGAGGTATTTGGTCTTCAAAGCTTTGGGGCTGGCTGGTCTTCCAAGCTCCTCCTCCTCTGATGGACCAGATGAAGGCAGGTTGGTCTGGTCTAGTTGGTCCGTGCTGCTCCTGTGGTCAGATCTCCAAGGGTTTTAAAGAACTCCTCCATCTCCTGCTGGAGGAGAATGTTTCGGTTCTCTGCGTCTTGATGTGCCCGCTCCGAGTTCCTGAGTCGGATCTCCAGCATCTGGAACTTCTTCTTCTCCTGGTCCAGGTCCTCCTCGAGATGGTTTACCTGGGACTGGTACTTAGAGCAGGACTCTTCCAACCTCAAAGAAGAGAAGAAGGCATTATAAATAAAACCTCAGGCTGAAATGAATTAGTTATTTGACAGGAAATGACAAGTGACTCATTCTTACTTGCGAATGCAGCTTTCATAGCTTGTCCTCTGTTTCTTCAGCTCCAGTTTGAGCTCGGTCAGCATGTTGGTGAGACCTTCGTTTGTCCCAGTGAGATCATCCTCAGTCCCACTTGCACTGTGATCCGGAGTATTTGTACTGTCCGTCACCTCTGTGGGTCTCTCTTGACCCTGCCCCGCTTTTACTGCTTTGTCACTTCCCTCTGGCTCGGCCAGTGAGATCTCAAAGGACGTCCAGATTGAGGAGGTGTCAGCAGGCAGGCTTAGACTGGAGGGGGCAACATTGTCATAGGCAGACAGTCTGTGGGATTGGTGGAGGGCTCTGTGAGACAGGGATGTTCGAGAGGAGTCTTCATCAGAGTCTCTCTGTGAGTCCTTGAGTGAAAGAGTGGTCTCTTTGAGGGAGAGGGTTGAATCCTTCAGAGACAGAGTAGAGTCTTTCAGTCTTTCACCAGATGAGGTGGTGCGCCTGTGAGCTCGGAGGGATGACAGGCCATTCATCAGCCAGTTGCTCCCACCAGCTGCTGACACATCTCCCGCCGATCCCCCTAATTTCCCCCTCGACCCCCCAGATGCTGCACTGCCCTTGAAGGAGCACCTCCAGGAGGGCAGGGCTTTAGACTGTTTACTGGGGCTAACAGCTACTTCACTTCCACTTCTCCCCTCAATTTTGCTGTCTCCTTTTCCGTCCATTTTCTCCTCTGATTTACTTTTGCCCTTCCCTTCAAGCTGAACATCCTCACCTTTCTCCAATGTTGTACTGGGGCTTGGAGTGGTCGGCTTACTGTCTGAAGAAGGGGTGGAAGATTGGAGTTTCTCTTTAGGAGATTTGGAGCCTGTGCCTGAGGAGGGTGGGGGGTCAGTGTTTTCTTGTGAGAACCACTCTACCTTGCACCGTTCGAGAGGACTCAGCTGTTGCTGCGGGGAGATCTTGGTCTCTGTTTCTGGCTCCTCACGTTGATAAAGTCGGGAGTGTTCACTGATCAGCACAGTCATCAGGTGCTGCACCTGTGAACTTCCTGTTTATAATGACAAACACACATACACTTGCGGTAAGTATACGCCTGCTAGAAATGTTTCATGGCTATGTACATGTTGATTGTTTTTTTGTGCTGCAGGTTAACATATGTTGACATTATCACCAACCCTCCATCATGGTAACTGGATCCTCCACTCTGGGTCGAAGGATATTGGGTCCAAACACAGTGGCCAGATTCTGAACACTCATCTTATTCTCACTGGAGTGAGACTGAACCTCATCAAGGAACCTGCACAGACAGCAAGCAGTGTGTGAGTATACCCTTCTGTTTTTCCACATAAAGCCCCCAGCACCGACTGCATTGCTTCAAAGTGTTTAAAACTCCTTGTTCCTTTCAGTAAAAATCAAGCTCATGAAAAAAAAGGGGTGGGGGGGGGCTGAGTCATGATTCTGGCTGCTGTGTGTGGGCTCTGCTTGTGGTGTTTATATAGATGCAGGAGGCAGAGAAGACGTGCAATTATGCACACTCCGAGTCAATCAATGTGATGTCACATCTCCTGATGACGGGGATGTGGGTGTAGCAAATGTTATTTCTTTGTATGACAGAGTGACAAGTCATCAAACAGTGAATGGGGAATGACAGCAATAATGAAACCCATCACTGTCACATTAGTGAGGTTAACAACTAGCTGTTAAATACAGGAGACAACATGATGGTGTTTACATACCTGCAGATGTATTTAAGGATGTTATAGTTGACCTGAGGAAGGGATTTCACCTGTTTGCCAAGCTCTATGATACCCTTGAACAAGAAAAACATGTGTTAACTATCAAGGTTAAGGTTTTAAAATACATCTGTAATGACAGGCAGATATTTCATTACCATTTCTTTATCCTTGGTAAGTAGCTGAGCACAAGAGAGAAACTGTGTGTATTTGGAGAATGGGATTATAGGCTCTGGCAGCTCCCGTATGTACAGCTTTAGCAGTGATGCCACTGTGTGGACATCTGTGGTACTGTAAGAGACAGAGAGTGCACATAAAGGATAATATCCAGCACTGATGAAAAAAAAAAAAAAGCCTGCTCCCACTGCCTCACCTGTCAAACACCGGCTTCTCGCCACGGTCAAACGCATCCTGTAGCTCTCGAACATGATTGGTCTGTCCGGGGGCCCTGAAAAGACCTTCCTCCTCCAGCCCGTGCTCACGTATGAAACACGCACACTGCTCGACCAGCACGGGCACCAGTCGCTGGGGGCCACACTGAGCCTCGTACAACATTGTCTCCTCTAGGTGCTGCCCAAAGACGCCTGCAGACACACAACACAGAAAATGGATACCAATCAGGAAACTGATAGTTGAGGATGTTTCGTTAAATTTATTTGCATAATTACAATAATTAATAACTGTGAGACTGTGTATATGCATATGTTTAAGAACCACACCTCCTCCAAGTGGAGCCCATATGACTCTGCGTATGGCTCTGACCCATTCTTCCATGTCACTCTGAGAGTTGGCCATCAGCAGGAATGATTCATGGCTTAAACCTGTCCGATCTTTTTCTCCAGCGCCCCCTGAAAACACAATTCCGTATTCCATTACTTTCTGGATCGACAGGACAAAATGACTCGCGCATCTCAAAACCACGTGGAATCACACATGAAACAAATACCACTTTTGCAAGATACTTTGCTCATCACATGAACTGTATCACAATACTGTAAACAAGTGGGTTCTGCCAGATGGAAACATCAGTATTTTCAATAACCTTATTAGCTCGAGCACCCCTGTAAAGTACAAAGAGGTAGCCGTGCAGCTCTGCCTCTTTCCTCTGGGCACACGCAGCTTGATACCACCCGGTTTGACATTTTAGTTTGACATTTTAGTTTATTTTAGTTTAGCTTTGATTACACTGTGTGAAATCATCTCCCTCTATGTGACTTTGTAATCGCTTGCTTTTGAAGAGGTGCAAGCATGTCTCCATTTCTAAAAGCATCAAGTTTGCTAATCATAAAATGTTTTTTTATATTTCTACCGATGGAAACCTTTTGGAAGCAATCCAAAAGACAGAGTTTTTTTTTTTTTAAGTGAATTTGGTAGGGGTTGCATGTGCTTTACTGTGTAAGACATTCAGTATATCAGTACCAGCTTTTAAGGCCTGCACTGTGGTGCATAGTGTGTTTTGTGTGAGAGCAATGACCCAGAAAGAGTAGTGTTCCCGGTGGACACCAGTAACTGCACCACTGCACACCGTCTCTTTTTTTTTCCTTCTGTCTTGGACCTTTTCTTCTTTGTCTGTTTTCACTCTGTTATTTCACGAACTTTCTCTACAAACTGACACTGGACTCCATTTTACATGTTAAAAGACCACACTGATGTATTTGCATGTTTTACCCAATATACTACAAACTGCTTATAGTTTGCATGACTGTCGACCTTCTTCCAGCTCAGCTGAATCTGCTGAACACAGGTCATGTTTGCATGTACAGTATGTATATGAACATACATTTGTCTCAGTGAGGAGGAGACAACTGACACGGCGCTGTTGGCAGGCACAGACACTGAAAATATCATAGTTGTTCCTGTGCAGTGTTTCCGTGAAACAGAGGCTTTTTTTCTACAGAACCTCTGTTGCAATACTGTCTGTTTATCCAGAGGCTGCCAGATGCTTGCTCTTGCAAAATTGAAATTATACACCAGGATCGTGTCCTGGCAACACAGAAATCCAGAGAGGGAGATATATGCAATACTTTTCACCAGTTCAATCTGCTTTCAAAAATGCTCCAATATAGGAGCGTTACAGTGTTTCTACAACACATCCTCCTCTTTGATAATCAGAGCTGAGAAAGATGTAATGGGAACCTCATCCTCAGGATAAACTGTCAACCTGCTGCAGTAATCGCCCATGCTGAACCTGTACTGCCAGTTGGAAATAGGGGCTACAACTGAGCCCTTATGAAGAATCATCCGACCACGCCTCCTGATCGATGTGGTGCACACTCTGTCATCAGGCCAACCACATATCAAGAGCAGAAATGAATGAAGTCATTGTTGAACCTTCAGTCACATGCCTGTGGCAATCACATTCCTTTCTGCTATTCTGCATATTTCATGCATGCGCCATGGCCTGTGACTCCAACGCAGCTTATTGATTTACTTCTATTCTTTTTTCATTCCTCACAATAAGGTTAACAAAGAGAACACCAGCTGCTGTATATACAGAATCAAGCAACACAGAGAGAAACTTTCTGTACATTACAGCAAACATGGCATCAGCTTTATATTTGCACTGATGTTGCACCATTTGTGGTTTCAGCACTTTCTGAACATCAAAAACTCATGAGTGCAAACCAGCTTTGATCATGATGTCTTTTTCTGCAAAAAAAAAAGAAGGGATTTGGGAAAATATTCTAAATGTGCTTTATCAGGATTTAGTGAAGCGTACAATCTTAGTCTAGTCTAAAGTGAGGAAATTGTTTGCCACTGTAGTAAACAGATAGTTCAGCATCCCTAGAACAAGACTTCTTCACCTATTGACTTCCTTATACAGCAGAGTTGTCAACACGCCAACTCACCTGGAACTATTTCAAAAAGGTGGCGACCAGGCTCATCCTGATTGGCAGGCAGCTCATTGACCTGACTGCCCTGAAGAGGAATACAACCCTGTAGGAGAAAGGAGAGGAAGGCGTGACACAGACGGATAGACAGATAGACTGACAGGCAGGCAAGCATGAGGAAAACATCCACATCAACTGTATTCAAGGGCCAAACAAGAAATCAATCAGTGGTTCTGGACTTGGATGTGTAGTGCATGTTAAACATTATAGAGTTCTGAGCACTCTGGGCTCTGGGCATCTGCCCAACAGAGGGAGGTAATGATGATGGACGGAGAGATGACTCAGGGAAACATCTCTTCATCTATTAATCCCTCAGCCGCTTCCTGATGTACATGCATTTCTGATCCAGCACAGAGACGGTCAGAGGTCATCGGCTAAGTGCTTACAGGAGAACCACAGGGCAGCGAGTTACCACTTTATCAATGTGTGTGTCAGGGCAATAACAACACACTAAGACTCAAATGGAGATTGTGGGGTCGGATGATTTTTTGCAGGAAAGATGAATGGCTATGGCACATAACACAGAAAATGCTTTATTTTACTTGAGGGCGACAAAATACATTTTGTCACCCTCATTTTAAAGAATCAATAAGCTATTTTCAGAGTTGGAGAACACACATCGGATCTGCTGGCCCTGGGCGAAAATACTCATTAGATAAATTCATGAAGCTTAAATATGTATCAGGCTTTGAACCAAAATCAATCCAAACCTCCTGGGGCATTAGGTGACATCAGGTAACTGTCTTCTATATTTACATACATTATTTTGTGCATGTCACCTGTGCCTTGGTCTCATCCTGGTCCTTGTAGAAATACAGAGCTTCAGTCCGCAGGACAAACCAACGCAGCTGCCAGTTTTTCATGATACTCCGCTGCCTCTTCAGCCAGCCTGCCTTCAGTGCTTTCTCCTGATCCAGAGGCGAGCAGGGCCTGGACACCCGAGACAGCTCTCCAAGCACCATGCTCTTGGACCGTGCTGCATGGAAGCACACATAGAGAGAAAGTGAGCAAAAAGAAGCCTTCAAGATTACAAGATTAAGAGCATCAGAGTGAGACAGAGAGAGATAAAAAAAAAAACGAACGAGACAGAGTTGCATCGAGACAGAGGATACATATTATTTTGGGATTTTTCTTTTTATTATTCTAAGAATTCACAGAGACGATCCACAATCATTATTCACAGGAGTCTCCCATGTGTGCGGCTAAGTCCACAGGCTTGACCACGCATCCAGATTTCCTATTAAGTAATTTTTACCAAGACACAGCCTCCATTTTGTAGCAAAGACATCCTGCTTTAAGATGAAATCCATCTATCAATTACAGTGCGTTTTATAAGGTGTTTCAGATATTAATAAGGGCATATATTATTTCCAGATTCATTGCTGTACAGAGAGGAATTTTGTTTCATATTACGTTGCATTTTAAGTGCTATAGACTGATCATAAGCATGGATTATATATTAGCATCTGTATGCCAAAGGTATAGAAGAAAAACAGCGACAGTAGAGTGATCCCTAGGGAGTCAGGGCGAGAGCGAAAGAGCGAGAGAGAGATAAACAGAAGGCACAGGGAGAGGAGAGAGAAGAGAGAAATCAATGGCGTCTTTTTCCTGTTAATTGCATCTCGCTTTCTGCTGAGGACAGCAGGGAAGGTATCTGTAAGGGCCTGGACTGAAATCTCTCTTTCTGTTTCTCTTTCCTGTTATCTCTCTCTCTCTCTCTCTCTCTCTCTCTCTCTCTCTCTCTCCCTCTCTCTTACTTATCAGCTCTCTGTCTGGACTCTTCATTTAATTTCTCCCCTCTCTGGATGTCCTTCATTTACAGAGTCATGATTGCTGGGAAGGGAAAAGACTGGAGAGCACGTGAAACACGTCATTAATGAAACTGTATGGTGACAGCAGAAGCAGACATAGCAGGATCTAAAAATACAGCAGATGTGGCCGTGTTGTATACACATCTTTAAATCTCAGAGAGGAACTGTTTTTTTTGTTTTTTTTTAAAATCTACTGTCAGCAAAGAACTGTTGACTCAAATTATCTTTCCAGGATATAATGTCACTCAAAGGGCATCACCTCACATTTAATAAAATAATTTACATATTCACTAAAGTACTTTTATGTTACGAATGAACTGTTTTATGAGCTCATTAGTGATAGGTAGTGGTATTCAGATCCTTCACTTAATTAAAGTAGGAATACCACAACGTATGTATGTAAAATGTAAAATATTCCATTATGTTCTGAAGTTGAAATTTTAATCAAGTAAAAGTACTCAATTATTATTAGCAAAATACCCTTAAATTATCAAAAATAAAAGTAGTACTAATGCAGAAATATTGCCCCTGTGACCTTGTATATTTCATTATTGAGTTATGTTTACTGATTCATTGATGTGTAAGCAGCATTTTACTCCTGTAGCTGGTTGAGTTGGTATCTGATATATACTTTTGTGTAGTTTAATCTGTAACAGTGTATAATATTTTTTAAACATCTTATGTTGTAAAATCCTCATCTGTAAAGACATTAGTGAGAGCTGTAAAAAAGAGTAAAAAGTACAATATTTACTTTTGAACTGCAGTGGAGTAGAAGTTTAAAGTAAAACATATATTTGAATGAAATACTGAAAAGTAAAAGTACAGTACCTGAGTATATATATACAGTCAGTCAGTCTTACATTATATTATAACTGCACTGATTATTAATGATATTAGATTTGTATTGTCTCTATATGTCAGCCCTGGGATTGGGTCCAGCCCAACCCGCGACCCTGTAAGGACAGGCGGTATAGCTAATGGATGGATGGATGAGCTACCATAAATGAGACCATAATAATATTTTGTAATAATTGGAATTAACATTAACAATGATTGTAATTAACGTGGTGCAGCAAAAATTGTTTTATGAATGAAATCTTACAGAAATGATAAAATGACAATAAGTCTTCATTTTTTGTATTTTTACACTTAAACAATTATTCGGCCAAACAAATAGTGGCGAGAAGCCTCAGTCACATCTGATTACTCAGGGTTTTTACCAATAACATCTTCCCGTAAGACTCACACTCCACTTAACTGCTTAGGATTCGAGTCTGATATCCAAGTTTCTGAGTGCCGATCCTGCACTGTGCTGCTGTCTGAATTTGCCCTGAATGATGTTGCATAAAAGGGTCAGAGGAGAGCAGAGCTGGGAATCCAACCAAAGGAGAATACCATTACAGCAAAAGAGAGATGGCAAGCGCACCAAACGTGGCAAGCAAACTTAAGTGGCTACTCTGCTTTTATGGTCTTATTTTTACAGCTGGTCTAGAATAAGACAAGGACAGCCAGGGGAGAAATGAAGCCCTGCCTAAGCACAAGCACACAATATGGGTTCTTGAAGCTGCTGCTGGCCAATACTTCACTCTATTGTGGCCATTTTCATGCAAAAAATGTAGATCAGTAAATCTCACAGACTTTTGTCAAGTCAGGGTGGCAATGCCACTGAAACAGCAGTCATGTGGATGCTCTCCTCCCAGCCACCTGAAGCAGTGTGCGTTGGTTGTCTATAGCAACCACCTGCCGTGAGGAGCACAGCAAGTATTTATACTCATCATGATAATCTCAGTGCCAGGAGTTGTTACCGTTGGTTTGCAGCTTCCATATTCATCTCCATGCAGTCATGTGAGAGGCATGCATATGTGGCGTCCTGACTTATGTGGTCACAAGCGAATTTACCAAGCGTTAGAGGAACTATGTTTGACGGTCAGCTGTTGTGATTTCCAGAGGAGAGCCCATGCATTCCCCTCACCACCGCTCATATCCGAGTCTGTCAACTGCTCAAAACCAAAACCCATGTAGTCATGTGTTCAGGTGCGACCGTGCCAGGATACAGACCATTGTCACAGGGAGAATTATCCTTCCAGCAGCCATGTTTAGTACGACCCACAGTGATCTCCATCTCGATCAAATCTTCTATGAATGAAGACGGTATAATCAAGAGATATGGGGGATTACATCACCCTGTAGTAGTGCTTGTTAACTCTCAATGAGCACAGCAGATAAAGCCTCAGATCATGCAAGAAAAGTCAGGTCATTGCTGATCGCAATAGTCACCGGGATGCAGGATGACACTGGTGTGGATATTCGTCACAAGTCTGGCATTGTTACACCTCATGATGTCATTATCAATGAAAGCACTAACAACAATATAGATGTTATTATTACAAAGACAGCAGGTCAGATGGAGCTCTGCAGACAGAGAAAGAGAGGAGAGGAGAAAGAGATGACAGCAAGAAAGAAAAGAAAGAAAAGAGATGGAGCGTACAGGAGGGATGGAGAAAGGGGAGGAGGGACCGTGCTTACCCCGGCGTGCCTGTTTTATCTTGGGGCTCAGCATGGTTACCGTTGCTGTGCTGCTCCCTCTCACAGAGACATGACTGCATCCCTCTGTTCACACACTATTCCTCCACCACACACACACACACACACACACACTCAGCGCCTCACGCTGCTGCCTCGCCCTGTTACTCCTCATCCTCTTCGAGCATCTCTCTCCTCCGGCTCACAGTCTTGCACTTGGACACTGTCTCCATCTGATTTCACACACACATACACACACACACACACACATATGCACACTCACGCTTACAAGCACTTAACCATACACCCTCCTCTTCTTCCTCTAATTCCTTTCGTCTTTCTCTCTCTGTCCCACTGGCCCGGCGTGCTGTTGTTCTCACATACCTAGAGCCCTGCCCACTCCCTCTCTCTCTTTCTCTCTCGCTCCCTCACTCTCTCTCTCCTTTGCAATCTGTCTCCCTGCCTTCTGCTGCACACTTTCAGTATCAATTTCTCACCGTCTATAAATATGTCTGGCTGTGTGTCCTATGTCTTGTCACCCATTTCTTTACATTGACTCCCCCATCACTCCCCAGTCTTCACAGTCCCTCCAGCTCTTTGCTCATGGAGATTTGATTATGGTCTTGTCGGTAGCTGGAGTACAACCTCAGATCAATACATTTGATTTTACTGACACCATTCTCACTATTAAAAGACTGATGCAGAGTAAGTGGACGTGTCATTGTATTGTCTGTACCTCTAAACACTTGCAGATGTATGGCAGGGATGGATAATTTTTGGTGGACATGTGTTCAAAACTGACAAAATCTGACTTGATCATGACTCACACAGGCTGAGATTTACAGTCTGAGGGGAAATGCCACACCGCTCAGGAATCTGTATGGTGAAAGCCACAGCACTCAAGGGTGTGATGTTCTTGTTGCTATTCTGTCTGGTAGTGATGTGATAAAGCAGATAAATGCTGCAGCTCAAGAGGCTGGATGAGACTCAAATGCAGTACAGAGACTGAGCTATAGAAGGGCGAGCTGACTGAGGTTTCTCATATGAAAAGATAACCTACTCAGCTCACACATAACAATCAATCAATGGCAGATGGTCAATACTATGCACAGCCCCTTATGAAGGCTTTTATAAGGGAGCAGCAGTACGTTAGTGACACAACTTTGGCCAATTTGATTTGTAGAAAATTAAAACAACTTATACCCGGACAGACAGAAAGCTTATAGAGATGATCAAGAAATGGTGTGGACCCATAAATCATAAAAACTCAAGAGCTTCAGTTTAAATGAGAACTCAGATAGCCAGCCGGCTGAATCATAGGCAACAACATAGATCGTCAGCATGCTTGATACAATGACCAACTATGCAAAACAAATTAAAAACAGAGCTTTACCTGCTGATTCCTTTTGTTTTTCACCGGCCAGAGAAGCCCTGGATGGTTTCATTGCAGTGAACCCTTCTGCACAGTGAATCCCTCTCCACTGGGCCCATTTCTAAAAGCCACACACACACACACACAGACACACACACACACACACACACAGACACACACACACACACACACACACACACACACACACACACACACACACACACACACGACACCACACACAGCACACACAAAGACCACTCAGGGTTATAAAACAATGACAATACTGAAATGTCAGTCTAATTGATAATCACAAATCTAATGTAATTCACATACCCAAATAGAAGGGACTACTATTCTTGCCATCAACACACTGGTGACATGTGCCTGAGGAATGCTGATGTGAACAGATTCTCATAGATGGCAGGAAGTAAAGACAGTCATGAGAGTATTACTTGCCATGTCATCTCGGATGGGCGGACCGGACGACTCTCAGCCTCGAGCCAGACTCTCTGTGCTGCACAAGAAAAGCGTCACACAGTCCCGAAGCAGCTGCAGTGATTGATACCGTTTCCAGAGAAATAAAACACAGGTGTGCGATGCTGTCCCGCTGTCCTCGTCATCTGGATTTTCAGTTCGTCTGCCACTCAGGAAGTGCGCTGGCTTGATGGAGAAGTGAAAACTGCTGACGTCTGTACAGAAAATATTATGAGATTCTTTTTTAAATGTTATTACTATATATTTGCTCTGCTCGCAACAGGGCAAAAGGCAACGCTCTGGCTGTTAGGAGATTTGCTTATGTAAATCGTGAGGGAAGGTCACAAGCTTTGAATCTGAGAAGCTCTTAAAAGCTTGTTTCTCTCCAGCTACACAGTGAGATAGAGAAGAGAGTTCAGTTTTTTCTAAAAGGCAGATTTCAGTGATTTCTTTTTTTTTTTTTTTTTTTTAAATATTTTTTTTTTTCGATNACCGGACGACTCTCAGCCTCGAGCCAGACTCTCTGTGCTGCACAAGAAAAGCGTCACACAGTCCCGAAGCAGCTGCAGTGATTGATACCGTTTCCAGAGAAATAAAACACAGGTGTGCGATGCTGTCCCGCTGTCCTCGTCATCTGGATTTTCAGTTCGTCTGCCACTCAGGAAGTGCGCTGGCTTGATGGAGAAGTGAAAACTGCTGACGTCTGTACAGAAAATATTATGAGATTCTTTTTTAAATGTTATTACTATATATTTGCTCTGCTCGTAACAGGGCAAAAGGCAACGCTCTGGCTGTTAGGAGATTTGCTTATGTAAATCGTGAGGGAAGGTCACAAGCTTTGAATCTGAGAAGCTCTTAAAAGCTTGTTTCTCTCCAGCTACACAGTGAGATAGAGAAGAGAGTTCAGTTTTTTCTAAAAGGCAGATTTCAGTGATTTCTTTTTTTTTTTTTTTTTATTAAACATATTTTTTCTATAGCATAAAAAAACACATCATGGCACAAATGTGGTATCATCTTGGAAACTAATCACCAAAGATAAAATACATCAGTACATATAAAATATATTGGGATATCGACAAGTGGCAACCAGTTAAATACAATAACACTGATCCAGGGACAGAGAAATACAGTAAAAGCACTCAGTTTCACAAGCTTTACATGCACTCATCTTAACCACTCCATATGCATTACAGGCGGTACAGTAGACACTAAATTATATCACATGACATAGCCACTCACATAGTCCAGACACACCAGCCTCTAAAGGGGTGTGGGGAACATCATCTATAATCTAGAAATATGGTCCTGAGGGACACATAGGAAATGAGTATGTGTAATTGAAGGCATGAAAAGAGCACGTCCCATTAGTGAGAGCAGAGGAAGTGTCATGGCACAAATGACTGGGAGCAGGTCGCCGAGGTAACGACATTATGTTAGGAACAAAGTCTTTCAGTGCACCTGCTATTAACCATTATCACGAGCTAATCACAGAACGTGTCATTTGTTTTGAGCACGCAAATCCTCACAACTTTGATCTACAGTATGCTTTATGCTTTTATTTAAAGCAACGATTAACAACGATGTTAAAAAAGTCTGATGATGCGGAGTAGAAAAACACAGTTGTGAATGTGAGTGTTCATGTTATCAGAGGCGTTCCCTGCTAAAACACAGTTTTGGAAATATCCAGTACTACACACAGAACAATGTTATCCAACAAGTTAATCAAAAACACTGTTATCTTAAAAGTGTTCAGTGAGGTCTCTAAAAACTAGGTGAACGACTAAACAGTTAGTGCTAGTTATCCTGTTAGCCACGGTGGACAGATCTGCTCACAAATCTACTGTATAGTCGACTGTATATATTAAAATAAAATATTAAGTTATGATCAAATTTTACATTCAAGTACAACATGTTATATGGCATTCGAAAGTTACTGAATCTAAAGAGGACATTATCACAAAGTTGACTGCACACCGAAGACTCTAAACTGAGGATGTAGATTTGTAAGTGACCGATGATGAAACAGCTGCATTCGACAAAAACTGACAGTTTTAAATGTCTATGGCAGTTTTGTCCTCTCGTATTTGTCCGCTGCCTACTCGTCTTTGACCCTCCAGCAGAAATGACAGTACTATAACCCAGCGCTGTCCTAGCGACCTCTGTCGTGCTGAGGTTTCACACTGTCTGAAGTAGGTGGTCGTTCCTGTGGCAACGGCATCAAACTGCTCGGTCAGTAGCCACACCTCCCACAAAAGCGTCAGCGTGTTCATAACAATCATGACCGCAACCCAGAACTCCTGCCCTAACAACGTGAGCCACAGTGACAAGCTTCGACTACCAGCAGGCATCTTGTCGTACAGGTAACTTGTTGCCGTGGCAACAAAAAGAAGGTGGGCAATCACCATGGAGAGGATGAAGAAGAGGAAGAGGCGGTGGTTACCCCGGCCGACGCAGCGGTTGAGGAAAAGGCAGTGATGGTCGTAGTCTTTGATGCACACCTCACACAGCTTGCAGTGTTTAGTGTAGTCAGGCTGAAACAGCTATGAGGAAAGCAAAGACAGGGTGTGAAGCACAGCAACATACCTATAAAAACTAATGTAACTTTTTGTACAACGTAGCCCATGAACTAGAAAATGTGCATCTTAAACTTAACTGCCAACTTTTTTCAAAACCACACAAGGGTTTTGTGTTTGATTAGCTTATCTTTCCTGCTTTTTACTTTCACCGTGGGTCAACTTGACTTAATCACCATAAATATTTCATCATTATTTTTTGTTAGATACAATGCATGGCTGCTTTGACATCTGAAATTTTAACAGGGGTGTATAGGAGGGGAAGACCTGTGTGTACATCCAAACAGAAAAGACTGGTATCCTGATAGTTAGATACCTGGATACACAGGTAAATATGGGTGTATGCTCTGTGAATCATGACCTGTGCAAATGTCTTACCTCACAGTATGGACAGAACCTGTGAGGGCTCTGGTTGTTCTCAACCAGGTCAGCGATACAGGAGAATCGAGGATCTGCATCCGCTCTGTCCAGTGTCCCGGGGTCCTGTGTCAGAACCTTACAGAACAAACCGAGCACTAGGGAGAAGTGGACCATTGACACTTGGACCAGAGGACTGTTTGGCCACACACATTCAAAAGGTTAAGGATGAACCCTCGTCATATCAATATACAAAAATCCTGGATTACATTTGCTGTATTGTCTATATTTGGGTGCACAATACAACTAAGAGAGCATTGGC